GATCAAGTTATGGTGAAAAGAAAATTTGAATGCAAATGGGGTTTTTGGGGGAGGGGGCTGCGGGTTTCATGAAGAAGAAGGGAGGAAAGTGATGCATGAATAGTGCCAAGCACATGTGGCTTAAGTCACTTAAGTGGGGTGGGTCCCACCGCCACCTCACGCGATTTAAAACTAATTCGAATTTTCCTCCGATTCCACTAAACGTCCGTAAATTCACAACCTATTTAGAAACTCAAATTTTTAACATTAACTATTCCCCTTTAATTAGGCTTGATCAGATGAATTCAGAGTCCTCCATTCGTTCGGAGAAAACACTGTTTTAAGCTATTGCGCGAGTCGTTGGCACGCTTCCCCAAAACGACTTACTTTCATCAGATTTTATCAAAATTCATATTTCCTAACTCAATAAAGCATTTATAACTCATATTTGAAACCTATAGCTCAAAACTCAATTGGCACGTTTTACGGTGCAATCGTATCGCGATATTTTTACCCGCGAAAAACACTATTCACTGATTTTTCTGAAACTTACCTGTCCACTCAATTTTTCGTTCTGAACCCATTTCCAGGGTTATTTTTACCATCTGAGACCTTCTACTCAATTTTTATCTTCCTAGGGTTGCGTGTTGGCTAATTACCGTTTTGCCCTTTCTTTGTATTTTGGCCTAATCTTTAGGATTTTCACTAATTCATCACTTGATTGCTCACTTAATATTTTAATTACTTGATTTAAAATTGTGAGGTGTTATACTCACCCCAACTTTTTAGAATTTTGTCCGCAAAATTAAATCATACCTGTCCGCTAACTCAGGATATAGCCGGAGAATCTCATCCTCCCGCTCCCAAGTAGCCTCCTCAGGTGTACGTCCTTCCCATTGAACTTTAAGCATTGGAATAACTTTGCTTCTAAGCTTCTTTTCACTGCGGTCAAGGACCTCAACAGGGCCTATAGGAACTTTCAAATTCTCTCTGATTTCAATATCGTCCGGTATCACCACATGTGATTCATCCGGAATATAACGCCGCAGCTGTGATACATGAAAAACATCGTGTAGATTTGACAACTGTGGGGGCAAGGCAAGCTGATAGGCCACTGGTCCTACTCTTTTCATTATTTGATATGGCCCAATAAAACGAGGACTCAGCTTCCTCACTCCCAATGCACGTCCAACACCGGTAACTGGAGATAACCGCACAAAAACATGACTGCCTTCTTCAAATTCCAGCGGTCTGTGTCTATTATCATAATAACTTTTCTGCCGATTCTGTGCCTGTTTAAGTTTTTCCCTGATCATTTCAATCTGTGCCGTGGTTTCTTGCACAAAGTCCGGCCCAAACCTCTCTTTATCACCTACCTCTGTCCAACAAGTAGGAGTACGACATCTACGCCCATACAAAGCCTCATAAGGTGCCATGCCCAGACTGGAGTGAAAACTATTATTATAAGAGAATTCCACCAGTGATAAATATCTGTCCCAAGCAGTGCCCTGCTCCAGTGTGCAAGCTCTCAACATATCCTCAAGTGTCTGTATGGTCCTCTCAGTCTGACCATCAGTCTGCGGGTGATACGCAGTGCTCAGCCGAAGCTGAGTGCCAAAAGCCTGCTGCAAGGCTCCCCAAAATCGAGAAGTAAATTTCGGGTCCCGGTCACTAACAATGCTAACCGGTATTCCATGGAGCCTTACAATCTCCTTCACATATAACTTTGCTAATTTCTCCGTAGAGAAGTCCACTCGCACTGGAAGAAAATGTGCAGACTTCGTAAGTCTGTCCACTATAACCCAAATCGAATCATGACCAGCCTGAGTCCGAGGCAAACCAACAACAAAATCCATGGAGATGCTCTCCCATTTCCACTCTGGTATATCTAACGGCTGAAGTAACCCTGCCGGTTTCTGATGTTCTATTTTAACCTTCTGACAAATCAAGCACTTTGACACATATTCAGCCACATCCTTCTTCATCCCAGGCCACCAGAACTTAATTTTCAGATCTTGATACATTTTTGTGGCACCCGGGTGTACAGCAAACTGACCCTTATGGGCCTCAACCATTACCTCTCCTGCTAACTCCTTGGGCACTACAATTCTGCCCTGATACAGTAGCAATCCCTGCTCATTCACAGATATTCCACTCTGCCCTTTCAAATATTTGACACTGTCGTTCCGTATCTGTGTTTCTTTAATCTTCTCATATAATTTATTTTCCACCCGACAGCTCTCATGCAACCCATCTGTAACCCGTGTAGTCCAGAATTCATCCACACTCCCAATAAAGACATCTGTCAGTTTCAAGTCACGGAATTGCTCAATTAATTCATTATCCCACAACATCAACTGGGATACACTGACAGACTTCCTACTCAATGCATCTGCTACCACATTAGCCTTACCCGGATGGTATTTCAACTCAAAATCATAATCTTTTAGAAATTCAACCCACCTCCGTTGTCTCATGTTCAGCTCTTTCTGATCAAACAAATACTTTAGACTCTTGTGATCACTGAACACAGCAAATTTCATCCCATACAGAAAATGCCTCCAAATTTTCAAGGCAAATACTATGGCAGCAAGCTCCAAATCGTGTGTCGGATAATTCTCTTCATGAGGCCTCAACTGCCTCGAAGCATAAGCAACAACTCTCCTTTCTTGCATCAACACACACCCCAAACCTTTCTTGGAAGCATCACAATATAATTCAAACTCACCTTCCGGATCGGGGAGGGTCAACACAGGAGCAGTAGTCAATTTCTCTTTAAGGCTCAGAAAACAACTCTCACATTCCTGAGTCCACACAAAAGGAGTATCCTTTCGGGTCAATCGGGTCAATGGCAGTACCATTGTAGAAAACCCCTCAATAAACCTCCGATAATAACCAGCAAGACCCAGAAAGCTGCGGATTTCAGTAACAGTTTTTGGTCGTTCCCAGTACATAACAGCATCAATTTTATTTGGGTCAACAGCAACACCCCTCTCAGAAATAACATGACCCAGAAACTGTATCTCAGATAACCAGAATTCACACTTTGACGGCTTCGCATACAACTTTTTATCCTTTAACACCTGTAACACAGTCCTCAAATGCTCACTATGCTCCTCTCTGTTCTTAGAGTATATCAAGATGTCGTCGATAAACACGATCACAAACTGATCCAAATACGGTTTAAAAATACGATTCATGTAGTCCATGAACACTGCCGGGGCATTTGTAAGCCCAAAAGGAATCACCTGATACTCGTAGTGTCCATATCTAGAACGAAAAGCCGTTTTAGGCACATCCTCCGGCCTAATCCGAATCTGATGGTATCCGGACCGGAGATCAATCTTTGAAAACACGCAGGCACCCCTCAACTGATCCAACAAGTCATCAATACGCGGCAATGGGTACCTGTTCTTAACCGTCACTTTATTCAATTTCCGGTAATCAGTACACAGTCGCATGCTTCCATCCTTCTTTTTCACAAAGATCACCGGTGCTCCCCACGGGGACACACTCGGCCTAATAAAATCCTTTGCAGACAATTCCTCTATATGTTTCTTCAACTCAGCTAACTCAAGTGGCGCCATCCGGTATGGAGCCAATGAAATAGGCCCCACACCGGGCAACAATTCAATAGAAAATTCAATCTCTCTCTCAGGTGGAAATTCCGGTATCTCATCAGGGAATACATCCGCAAACTCATTAACCACCGGAATCGTAGAAATTTCAATCTCCTTGCCACCCACTAGACCACCCAAGAAAATATAACCCTGATCCCCAGCCTTCAAGGCTTTAATAGCATTGCACATAGATAAAAAGGGAGACGGAGTAACCGAGGGCTTCTCATGAGACAATATCAACCTCTTGCCACAGCAATCAATCATTGCACAGTTTTGAGATAACCAATCCATGCCCAATATCAAATTAACAGAGGCCAGGGGCAATATAATTAAGTCAATAGTGTAACCCCTGCCTTCGTAGACAAACCCGACCTCTTTGCAAATGAAGGAGGAATCACTAACCTCTCCTGTAGCCGTAGTAATACGCATAGGGGGAATCATCCGTGATACTTTTAATCCCAACCCCTTAGCCACATATTCCGCCACGAACGAGTGCGTAGCTCCAGAATCAAATAAAACAGATAAATCAATATTAGAAATGAAAATTGTACCTTTTACCAAATTCGGCGCCTTCGCCGTCTGCTGTGCATTAGTAGTATAAACACGCCCAACTGTAGGTGCAGCTGGCAAGGTCTGCAGATTCGCAGCCTGCCCAGTATTGCTCTGACAATTGTTGGCATAATGCCCAACCTTTCCACATCTGAAACAAGTCACCTGATTAACAGTACAAGGCCCTTGATGAAACCTCTTACACTTATCACAACGAGGAGCAGAATTTCTGTCATTATTCCCACTTCTCTGACCACCACCCCTTTTAAACTGACCTGGGGGCTGTCTTACTTGCAACCCCCTTCCTCTATTATTGTTTTGATGGTAGCCACCTCTGTTATTATTGCCGGGAGGAGCAGATGTCCTCGAAGAACCAGATTTTGGATATCTATTATAAACACTTTCAACCCGTTTACACTGAGTCACCAGATCTGCAAAGTTCCTCACAGCAGTATTAGACATTCTCTTTGCAATTTTCTCATTCAAACCCCTCTGAAATTTAGCAGAAAGAAACTCAGGGGTAGGCATCACACCCCCATAATTGGCAAATTTCACCAAATCATTAAACCTTGCCACATAGGCATCAATAGTCATGGTACCCTGTACCAACTTTTCAAATTCACCCTGTTTAGCCTCCCGAACATCTCGGGGAAAATATTCCTCATGAAACAACCTCTCAAATAAAGCCCATGTAATCTCTTCCCCTTGAATAATGAAAGGCTGAGATGCAGTGTACCACCACTCGTGGGCATCTCCCTCGAGCATATAAACAGAATACAACAGCCTCTGGGGATCCTGACACTCCATAACCTGAAAGATTTTATCCATGCCCCTCAACCAAGTAGTCACTACCTTCGGGTCCCTTGACCACTGAAATGATGGCGGCTTGTGCTTTCTAAAAGAGATGAGCCTCTGCTCATTAGTACCTGCAAACACTTGCCCAGCAATCCCAGCAGACTGAGCAACCACAGAAGGATCCACAGAAGGATCTGGAACATAGGTGGGATCAGTAGTGTGATGACTAGCCTCTGTCGAATGATGACTAGCCCCACTCCCCTCATGCTGAGGAGTAACAGATGGCGTACGGGTAGCAGTATCCGTAGCCGTATGTGGAGGAGAATCATCCCTCCTGTGTCGAGCCCTTTCCTCCCTCATCTCATTCATGAAGGCATGCATCATATCCTGATTATTTTTCATCAGGGTCTCGGTCATAGTTCTATTGGCAGCAGTCTCTTCCTGCAGAGCATTCAGAACTGCAATAATAGGATCTGGTGCTACTAAATGACCTGCACCTCTAGCTCCACGGCGACCCCGTGCCCTGCTCATGATATCTGTACATGTAACACAAAGGAATGAGCTGATCAGACCCACACTGAGGAATCACATATACATTAATCATAAATAGTTCACAGATAGCTATGCAACACAAGATACAGTAATACATTATCAGAGTTCCCTCACAAAACTGCTCTGATACCATAAAATGTAACAGCCCGTTACGTACCGGTATTGTTAACATTAATTATGATATTAAGCGCAGTTACAATCACAGCAGTTCATTTATAAAAACGAGAATAAATTTTTTCCGACTATTACGCGAGCATTTAAATCATAAAAAGGCGTAATAATTAAAAGCTGTGACCGTAACCGTAAACTCTTGCGGAAGACTTATTTAAACTATTTTTATAACTTACATCATTTATTATAAGTTACTAAGGAGTTCCCATAAACTCACTTAGCCAATTTCCAACTTTACGTTTTTACCAATTCAAACATGTTTCACTCTAAATTTTTCTGCGACCAAACCGATCGCAACCAACCCTTCTTCTCAGATTATGTTTTTTTATTACTTAATTCCTTTTTTAACAAGCTATCATACGCTCAATTCGGAGCTCATTTGCTCCGGTTATCGCCGTTTGAAGTTGGATAAGCAATTAGCCCAAACAACCCCAAAAACAGCTCCAAACCACTCACATTGCTCGAATTACTGCACTCAATCCACTCAACCATTTGCTCTCAACATTTTATCCTACAAACTAGACATCTCAAACTTCATTTTGATATATCACACGCTTAATTTGACTGAGAAAGGAAGCGGGAATTAATTTCCCAAATCCGGTCCAGAATCTGCCTCAGGTGCAGTGGCACATGAGCAGTCCGCGTTTCTCTATTTTTTTCAGGCCGAAGATCAACCCATATTTTCCTTAAATTTTGACACAAGGTAGAGGACATCTCAACCTTCAAAATGGCGTATGGCACGTCCCTAGGGGACCTCTACGGAGGGAGATATGCTCTCCCGAAGTTCGCCTAAAATCTGTCAATTCTACAGAAAATTCGCCAGAGTTTCCTTTGTTTTTCCAATAATCCCAAATTTGTAAAAGATCATTTAAACCTCAAATGTACCTAATAAACACATGATAATACAGTAATAATCCAATGGGTGGAACACACAAGGACCAACAACGCCTTGGGGCACTTACAACCCAATCCAGTTTATAGTTATTAAACATAGAGTCCACATTAATCATTCTTAAGTAGTTGCAATCACTAACACCTTTTTCATGCATATTTCCATCATACATATTATCATAACCTAAAATAGGCCTAAGGCCCTTCCATCATAAATAGACATGCATCGATACTATTACAATATGGCTTTACAAATTACAACTTGAAACTAAAACTTCAAATTACATTCTTCTAAAATTTCAACTTAATTTAAAAGACAACATAACCAAATACATCACTACTAGACTTAGGCAAAATGGCATGAACAAGATGCTAATGAAGCTACTAGTAAATACAAATGACATGTTCATGCCCTAAGTCTAGCCTAGGCCACACGGCCAACAAAATGCAAAATATGAAGCGCTCCACCGCTCACTCTGCGGGCCTCTTGCCCGAGGCTCCTGCTCCACTGCTACCTCCTGAAATAAATGCCCCGAGACGGGGTGAGATATACGAATATATCTCAGTAACCAAGAGGTTTTGGAGAAAACTCCACCCAATGGTTCACTTCGATGCATATCAATAGAATACAACAACCACTTTGAAAACGGGATATAGCAAGGGATTTAGAGAATGGGGAATATAAAGAAAACAAAATACGACGATACGGGATGGTAACCCCAATTCCACGTACGCCCTGGGCATATATAAGCCTATGGGTATCATCTATGGTGCGTTCAAAGAAACCACATCCATGATGCCCAAACCAACCAAAACGCCAAAGACATTCCTAGTGTGCTCCTACCCGGATCACACACCATGACACGCAGTCAACTGGAACTCCCTCCTGGAGACCTATCCAGCGGAAGTCCGAAAATGCCCGAAGGCTAATAAAACTGTCTACTGGCCAGAGACTCGGTACCGCAGTACCCATAGCAATAATGCATGCATGCTCATGTGTTCTATACTATTCATATACACTTCCTACCGTTGCCATCAACTGGCAAGGTGGAACAGAAAAGGGGAACAAGCCCCAGTACCAAGAGGTTACCTTAAATCGTGTTTCCACAAGCTCCGCAGCAGCTTATCCCTCAACTCGGTACACAGCGGAATGCCTACACAGAGGACATTCCCAATCACTCTCAGTTCAACCAATACATGTTAATTTATAATTATACATGCAATGAACCAATTACTTACCTCAATCCACTTGGTCCCGGACCAAGGGCAACTCACTGATTCAAGATTCGGGATTCAGGTCGACGTACGGCAACCTATACAATAACGTACATCCATCAGTACTCGTCAAATAGTATCAAAACGCAAAATCACAAAAATCCTCCCCATCCTCCCTTGATGGTTCGGCCATTTTAGTGTAAATTTGAGATTTATTTTTCTATATTTTCTTTCTCATTTTGTTACGTCTCATTAGGTTGTCAATAGGCCAGTCCAAGTGCCGGTTCGTCATTTTCGCGTCGAATTACATCAAAACGCGAAAATTGCCAAATCACCCTTTTTTCCCTTGGAGGTTCGGCCATGTAGGTGTAAATTTGAGATTTATTTTTCTAAATTTTCTTTCTCATTTTATAACACTCCCTTAGGTTGTTTAGAGGCTAGTTCAATCGTCGTTTTTCCGTTTTGCGACATTTATGCATCGTTTTGCGAAATATTTCATTCTGGGCTCATTTAGGTCTCTAAACACAATTCACTTTTCCCATTGATTCAAACACTCTCCAATCACAACACAACCCATCTAAGCACCATATAACTACACAAATCATCATCCAAATCATTTTTCCACACCAATTCCTCAATTTTTCCTCAAAGAATCGAATTTTACCCTATGGCATTCCAAGGAATTTCCATTCAATTTTAATCGTTCCAACCTTCACACAACCTATTATATCATCATACCATCATGCCACCATTCATCAAACAAGTCTCAACACCAAAATTCACAAGTCCAAAATCATGATCATCAATTTTTCTAAGTTAAAAATCATCACATTTCACTTAAAATTTTCATTGCATTTCTAGCATTACTACATCATTTTAAGGCATTATCATCTAATAGACATTTTCCATTTGAGCTCTCTAACACAACACATCATAAAATGCCTCTTTAGGGCTCATAAACACAATTCACCAATCAACCATTGAAATGTTGAAATAACTCACCCAAATGCAAGGCAAATGACTCCTCTTAGGTATACTCCACCATTGGAGCATTCCAAAGCTCCATGAACACAAAATTCCACAAGTGAGCCGCGGCCTTTGAGGGGGAGGATCTCAAAATCCAGCCACTTTCACGATTCAAGGATAGCACAATGGCTTTAGAAGGCAATTTCCAACAAATTTCAAGTTAAACTTTGTTGAATTTGGTTAGGATTTGAGTGATTTAGGTGAGAAGAAAAATTTGAAAGAAAACTTGGAGAAAGAAGGAGGGGGGCTCGGTTTTTGGCTGAAGGAGGGGTGAAGGAGGTGATGAATAGTACTTTGATGAGGTGTTTTAAGTGAATTTTAAGTGGGGTGGGTCCCACGCCACCTCACGCGATTTAAAACGCGTCCAAACTTTCACTAAACGTCCGTAAATTCAAAACCTATTTAGAAACTCTAATTTTTAACATTAACTATTCTCCTTTAATTATGCTTGATCAGATGAATTAAGAGTCCTCCATTCGTTCGGAGAAAACACTGTTTTAAGCTATTACGCGAGCCATTGGCACGCTTCCCCAAACTGTCTTAATTTCATCAAATATTATAAGAAATCATATTTCCTAACTCATTAGACCATTTATAACTCATATTTGAAACCTAGAGCTCAAAATTCAACTGGCACATTTTACGGTGCAATCGTAACGCGGTATTTTTACCCGCGAAAAAACATTATTCACTATTTTTCTGAAACTTGCCTAACACCCAATTTTTTGTTCTGAACCCATTTCAAGGGTTATTTTTACCATATGAGACATTCTCCTCAATTTTTATCTTCCTAGGGTTGCGTGTTGGCTAATTACTGTTTTGCCATTTCTTTGTATTTTGGCCTAATCTTTAGGATTTTCACTAATCCATCACTTGATTGCTCACTTAATATTTTAATTACTTGATTTAAAATTGTGAGGCGTTATATTTGGCACCTAAAGAAAGGAAAGACATGCTAGCTTTAGCCCATAGCCTGATAGTTGTCAACATCATTGATTGCGTGTTGCGTAGGGTTAGCAAGATTACCATTCCTAATGAGCTCTGAGAGAAGTTATAGAGTCTGTATCAAACTAAGTCTGCCCACAACAAAATGTTCTTGAAGGAAAGATTTTTTTTTCAAGATGGACCCTACTAAGTGTCTTGAGGACAACCTAGATGAGTTTAATAGGTTAACTCTTCAGCTTGAGAATGCGAGGGTTATTGTCTCCAATGAGGATCAAATATTGATCCTCTTAAACTCTCTTCCTGACTCTTACAGATGGGTCAAGGATGCTATAAAATATAGTAAAGGGGATATGACTCTAGATGAAATAACTGAGCTTTAAGGGCAAGAGAAGTTGAATCACAGAAAACCCACAACTGAAGGTTTCTATGTAAAACGAAAAGGGAATAAAAAATGAGAGTCAAACAATTAAGGTAAGGGGAACAACAATATTCCCCAAGGTAATCAAAGTTTTCCAGGGAAACCAAAATAAGGGTAAGGGTCAACCTAAATCTAAGTCTGTGTGCTGGCACTGCCATAAAGAGGGCCACCTTAAAAAGAACTGCCCTGAAAATCCCGAAAGTACTCAGAAACAATAAGGTAAACCTGAGTATGCTAATGTACTAATTGATTTTGACAGTGTTGAGGAACTGGTTCTGTCTGATAAGGTTTTTGAGACAGAATGAGTGATGGATTCTGGATGTAGATACCATATGACACCCAAAAGAAAGTGGCTTAGTGGGCTGGAGCTTCAAAGGGGTGGAAAAGTCTTAATGGGGAATGACCAAGTTCATAAAATTAAAGAAGTAGGGTCTGTTATGTTCAAGACGAATGATTGGAGTTGTAAAATTCTGAAAGAAGTTAGATTTGTTCCCACATTAAGAAGAAACTTGATTTCCTTAGGGATGCTTGACTCTAGTGGCCTAGAGTTTAAAAGTAAGCAATGGTCACTTGAAATTGTCAAGGGCTCACGAGTCCTAATGAGAGGAAAGCTTGTGAATGGCCTAGATTATTTCATCTAGAAATTTTTAATTAAATATTGGTTACCTATGAAATCACATTTGGAATTGTCTAACTTAGATAAAAACGGTGAAACTATTGCTTATAATTAGTCCTCGTAGGAACGATAATCTACTTGTATGACTGGTATACTCGCCGTATTCGTAACAAGTTTTTGAAAAATTCAATTAAAGATGCATACTAAAGAAATTGATTTAAAATATTAACTTGAAATTATGAAGAAGAAAAAAATCACTTAAGTTTACTTCACCTCTGATCCCCCTTAATTGATTTAATTCAATTCAATAATATTTTATCTCAATTGTTTCAAACAATTCATCATCTAAGATTTAATTGATTAAATCCTAATGTCTTAGTTATTTAACCCTTTAACCCAATCAAATTATGTCTAGATCATGCAAGAATTGGTGTTATACCCTTGTCTAGATCAAGATCCCAATATGTCTATTGTGAATCCTAACCCTATTTATCCTTATATAATTGGCTAGATAATACAAGAATTTAAACATACAAATCAAGGTAAACACAAACAATTTAAGACAGTTTATTAAAGAAAAGAATTAAACCAAAACAAGGATTCACGTTGGATCCATATTCCTAACTACAAAGAGAAATTAGCCAGACATATCGGGCTTAAACAAAATAAGAAATAAAATTAAAATAGATGAAGTGAGTAGAAGAAGAATAATGGTTGATCGCCACTGCAAAGCTTTAGTCTTTGTCTTAAGCTCTCAAAAACAGGATTCTCCTATGTTCTTTGCATTCTCTCTTTCAAGATATGCCATCATCCTCTGTGTTTCCAAGAGTTACCTTTTAATATTGATGAAACCATATGTTTTAATTTCTCATAAGAGCTTCAATGGAATCTTCACTAGAATCTCCAATCATATCTTTAATCAAATCCTTAAAATCTTCCCTTTTATATGTAAAGAAAAAAATTTCTTAAAAATATTCAAGAGAATATTCAATAAAATCTTCAATCAATTATATGATTCAGAAATCCTTAACAAATCCACTTGAGCTCTCCGATTTATCTTTTTATTAAGGTGAAAATTACTGCAAAATATAAGAATTTTTATGAGAATAAAATAATAATTTAACTACAATTCTCATATCTTTTAATTATTTTGGAATCAATTTCAAGATCGTATTAACCCTTAATACAAAATAAATTGGAGATGCAACCAATAGCTTTAGCCTTATCCTATCCTACCTTACCAAGAAATACTAGCTAGTTCATTTGTCTAGCAGAGCAATCAAAGTCATTTAACAATAAGGTGGTTCAGCACTGTTGCTTGCTCATTTTTTTTCCTATCTGTACAATATCACTTTCCACTCCTCAACCAAATCACCTGATATTTTCAAACTTGAGTTGGCGTAGCATGTGCATTTGGAGAGTACATAGAACTTTCTGTAACATCACTTTCTCTTCTGGAGAATCGTCTCTTTGCATATTCATATTGTTGAATCATTACCATAATTAGTCTCCATGATGTTTTCTCTTCACGGTTTGAATAATACATGCCCACAATGTAAACCAAGAGAGAAATTGTTGATGTGCCTGCTGTCAATGTGAAAAGGGCCCAGAAGCTATTGGGACTGAGACTTGAAGAGTCTGCATCTGGTTCTGTGTCTTCACATTTCTCTGATGCAAGCATTTGGTTCTCTAATTCAAGACGCTTGCCATTTCAAACAAACTTAGCAGTGCTTTGTTTACACTTGGAAGATATGGAGACCCTCTTGGAAATGCCTACAAACAACAAAAGTTAAACAAACTTGGAACAGAAGGAATAGTAATGTATGAATGGAAAGTTAAAAAGAAGTATTGAAGCATACAAATCCAAATCCTCCAAATTTATACATAGGCTCGGCTTGAATAAACTCTTTACAGTACTTTGAAAGGAAAATTTTGGCCCAAGGAACTTCAAGAAATGCAGCTGCTATTTCTTTCCTTCTGAGAGCTTCTGCAAACTCTTCAAGTGAGCTAAATTGCTTGATTTTTGCAGGTTGGAAGTGTAACACTTCCTGCGGATATTTTTGCAAGAAGGATCCTGTAGTGTATCCAACCACAGCATTGCCATTCCGTGTAAAAAATGATAGCAAATAAGTGTAAAAAATCTCATAATACCATTAAAGCTGATGAGAGGGGTCAATGCCAACCAAGCCATGGTCCCAGTTTGATTGAGCATGGAACCCTTAAGTTCAGGCCAATGGTGTCTCTCTAACATCCATAGAACAAATCCATTGTAGATAATCATGGCTGCTATTAGAATCCACATGGTCTTTGTAAATGGCTTCACGAATAACCAAGCTCTATGTCCTGCTTTTGACTTAATGGGCACTACCATCACCACTCCCGGATCAGTGTAAGGCTGAGTGAATTCAGCATACTGATATCGATATGAAATTATTGTTACATCAATCGCTGCATCGAAATTCTGCTTCATGCATAAGCAATTGCAGATGTGAAGAGCAAGTGTCATTAGCCATTGTTTTGAAAAAAAGATGGATACATGCTAACAAAATGACAACATATTAAACTTGGGTGAAATTTAAATTTAAATTTCATATATGTTGTCATTTGCCAAAATGACAACATATATTGTAAGTTGAAAGAAATGACACGTGACACATGCAATTTAAATTTATGTAGTTGCCAGAGACACAATAATTTTATAACTAATAAAATGAGATAAAGCATGTAAGAATAATATAATGTATAACTCTCACCTTTAAATAAACTTGCTTCACCAAATTATCATATGTGTCATTGAAAGCATATAATTTGTATGGCAAATGGTAGGGCAACAACTCCACAGTTGCTCTAAAAAGATCAATAGTAAATCCCTGGAAGGAGGTAGTATTTTCAGAATGATCTTGAGTTATATTTATAAATTGTTTCAATGTGGCCAAAGCAGGGACCCCAACTCTTAGTGGTTTATCACTTGTAGGCAGGGCCCATCCTCTTGGAGTGTCCCAAGGTCTTCCTGGCCATAAAAGTTGTCCCAGTTCCTTCATTGAACAACTATAAGTAGCATTTTGGCCAATACTATTTGAGAAACCTAGTCCATCTGACCAGAATCCAATTTCCTTGTAACCATTCCCTATCACATTGATGATCTGAAAAGTATGTGAAGGAGCTAACTTTTGGTCAGTGAACTGAATTTTTCCACTTAAGCCAATAAAACTATTAAGCAAAATCTTATCTAGCAAAACTTGGCCTCCTTTACTGTTGTCTTGGGTCATGGCTAGAGCCACAGTCCATGCAGCATCATAGGCATGTGCTGCAAATATCCCAGGCTCATTGTTGAATTCCCAAGGGTTCTCTGAGCTAAACTTTTGGCCAAATTTATGGTAGAACTCCTTAAACTGGTGTCCTGTTTATGGGATGTAGCTCTTGATTCCAAGGATGCCTTGCATTGAAGATATAGTGGAAGCATTCAAGGAATGGACAAGGCTTGTAAAAGGATCAGTTATGATCCACACAGAATCTTTCTCTATCATATTCATTTTATTTGCAGTTTCAAACAGGTTTATGGCCAACGGGAGGGAAGAAATAACAACAAAGACTCTACATTGCCCTTCTCTAAGCTTCTCCAGTTCTTGGGACAATGAAGAGGAAACAAAAGGTGGGATAGCTAAAAGATTGCTTATACTTACACCTGCTTCACTGAGGGCTCTATAGAGATGATATAAAACTTGTGTGGATGAAGCATCCCAATCTTCATATATTATGTTAACACTGTACCATTCCCAGGACTGAACAATAGCAGCTACTACTTTCATCTGCTTAATTTGACTAGGTAAAGCTTGCACCAAGAAGGGCCATTTCAAAGTTGACCACTTTGGAGTTGCATCAGCTAGAGATAAAACTGGCGTCATGCTTTGGCTACAAACCTCAGCCACTAAAGATGTCTCTTCCCATGTTTGCGGTACTATAATTGCTTGCACGTGCATTTCATTAATAAGATCTCTAGCTGCAAAAGAATGAATTAGAATTAGATGAATTTGTACCTTATTATTCTTTCACTACTCATAAAACAATAAAATTATGTCCTGTGAATTAAATATATATTTATGATTTGGTAATATATGTATATATATAGATAGATATATGTTGGGACGAGTCTCTCAATCAGGGCGGAGGCGATTTACAGGTCAGCACGTCGAGCTCACAGCTTGGCACTTCGAGGTTGGCAAAAACACATAAACAAAGAAAAATGCAGAAAAGAGATATGGAGAGTAAAAATAGCAAATTTTAACGTGGAAAACCTTTTCTAATGTAGAGAAGTAAAAACCACGGGACTTAATCCATAAAATCTTTCACTATGAATAGTAGGTGTTAAGAACCTTGAGGTCACCACCCCAAAAGCTAGCTCAAAGGGTGGGAGTGCCCAAGGCCTTATAAACTCCACATTAGTTGCACATACAACCAATGGGACTATATATCTCAACACGCCCCCTCACACGAGAGCTCACTGGGCTTGAAGGGTGGACAACATACAAGCCCACCTACAAGTGGAAATTCTACTACAAAGAAAGTGGGAGGCGTGAGATTTCGAACGCTCTGATACCATGTCAAAGAATCTTGGGATACACCACCCCAAAAGCTAGCTCCAAGGGTGGGAGTGCCCAAGGCCTTATAAACCTCACATTAGTTGCCCATACAACCAATGCGAGACTATATTTCACAACACGTCCCCTCACATGAGAGCCCACTGGGCTTGAAGGGTGGACAACATACAAGCCCACCTACATGTGGAAATTCCACTACAAAGAAAGTGGGAGGCGGTGAGATTTCGAACCCTCTGATACCATGTTAAGAATCTTGAGGTCACCACCCCAAAACTAGCTCAAAGGGTGGAAGTGCCCAAGACCTTATAAACCTCACATTAGTTGCCCATACAACCAATGTAGGACTATATTTCTCAACACGCCCCCTCACACGAGAGCCCACTGGGCTTGAAGGGTGGACAACATACAAGCCCACCTACATGTGGAAATTCTACTACAAAGAAAGTGGGAGGCGGTGATATTTCGAACGCTCTGATACCATGTCAAAGAATCTTAGGATACACCACTTCAAAAGCTAGCTCCAAGGGTGGGAGTGCCCAAGGCCTTATAAACCTCACATTAGTTGCCCATACAACCAATGCGAGACTATATTTCACAACACGTCCCCTCACATGAGAGCCCACTGGGCTTGAAGGGTGGACAACATACAAGCCCACCTACATGTGGAAATTCCACTACAAAGAAAGTGGGAGGCGGTGAGATTTTGAACGCTCTGATACCATGTTAAGAACCTTGAGGTCACCACCCCAAAAGCTAGCTCAAAGGGTGGAAGTGCCCAAAACCTTATAAACCTCACATTAGTTGCCCATACAACCAATGTGGGACTATATTTCTCAACACGCCCCCTCACACGAGAGCCCACTGGGCTTGAAGGGTGGACAACATACAAGCCCACCTACATGTGGAAAATTCCACTACAAAGATAGTGGGAGGCGGTGAGATTTCGAACGGTCTGATACCATGTTAAGAACCTTGAGCTAGCTTTTGGGGTGGTGTCCTCAAGGTTCTTAACATGGTATCAGAGCATTCGAAATCTCATCGCCTCCCACTTTCTTTGTAGTGGAATTTCCACATGTAGGTGGGCTTGTATGTTGTCCACCCTTCAAGCCCAGTGGGCTCTCGTGTGAGGGGGCGTGTTGAGAAATATAATCCCACATTGGTTGTATGGGCAACTAATGTGAAGTTTATAAGGCCTTGGGCACTCCCACCCTTTGAGCTAGCTTTTGGGGTGGTGACCTCAAGGTTCATAACAGTAGGATTAAAAAGGATTCAAACTTTCCTAATCACACTAGAGATACACACAAACTTCACCAACAATGATAGTTATAGGTTCTTTTCTAAAGAGGTCTCACATTCAAACTTCTCTTTAGAGGTTTTCTCACTCTAAAAAATGTCTCAACTAATCTCTTACAAAAGGTTTATCATGATTATAAATTTGAAGATAAATTCTACATCTTCTTCTAGAGTCTTCATCAATAATTAGGTGGGCAGCATTTATTGAGGTGGTTGTTAAGATATTGAGCCATGCATCCATAAATATGGTGCATGTAAAACTAGTTGTGTCTCATGTGTAACGTGTGTCAATTGGTTTAATTAATAATAAAAGAGGCTTTATGGTAATTGACGTTTCGCATTAATGATAATTGACGTTTTAACGTTTTGCATTATGGTAACGTTTCGCATTAATGATAATTGACGTTTTAACGTTTTGCATTATGGTAACGTTTCGCATTAATGGTAATTGACGTTTTGACGTTTCGCATTAAGGGAAGTTAATTAGAAATAACTGTGATAGGCCAGTTATATAATAGTTTATATGCTCAGTTTTCAGATAAGGGTATCTGATAGAAAACAAACGTCCTTCTGAGTCTGCCTAGAAAAGTTGTATCCTATCTAGGGGTGGCAATTTGGGTTGCTCGACTAAATAACTGGTTTTGACACCCCATTCTGTTTTGCACGATTTTTTTTGGCACGGAACCGATCGAATATCAATGTACACGCATATAATGACTTGGGGAACACACTTTCAGGTACAAAATAGTATTGTACAGGTTATAAACCACGAATGTACATGTACTGCATAAATGCTCCAAGTTAGGGTATCCGAAACTTGTGTTCTTATTTTAACTCTGTTAAGGTCACCTGTTCTGAATTTCATTGGACATTTTAGACCCGTTGGACTGTGATTAGACACAAATTGAAAACATGAAGGTAAAAGATATTTGTTCCTTCATTTGGTAAACAAGAAAACAACAATAATTACGTAAACGGTTCACAACATGATGGGAACATCAAATAGTTCATTTCATAACCATAATATTACATAAGCTACAAATGTCAAATAGGAAGACCGAAGTCAATTACATAACAACATACACTAGAAACGTAAAATAGAAACATAAACCCTAAATCTAATCCTCATCCTCCTCGGACGCCGTCTCCTCGTCATCCTCATCTGACACATCAGCCCCCTGCCCTGCAACATCCTCAATCTGCTGTCCTCGTCCAAGCTCTAGACGAGCAAGCCTATCTTCAACACCCTTGAACCGTCCCTGTATATGTCTAAATCTTTCATTTCCCTTCTGCACGTGACTCTTCCTCCATTTTTTGTGTTTCACCGCCATTTTTCCTATTTTCTTCAGCGTGGCGTTTATGCCCTTCATGACATCACGTAATGAAAACCCACCCTCAGGCTCAGCTATCTCCTGCTGGTCACCCTCATCATCATCGTCATCATCATCCTCCACCTCGGGGTCAACCATGTCTACAACTGGAGCAACATCAGGAACCTCAACATCAGCCGCACCTGTGAACTGCCACACTCCTGTTTGGGGGTTCTTTGTCATCTTGCACTGCTCCAGTAGACGTTTTCCAAACTTATGATTATACCCTGTGGTCTTCTTCAAGGTCACATTACCCATGGGAACATCAAAATGCTCCAATATCCTCTGAACAAGACAAGCAAATGGAAGTGCACCCTTGTGTTTGGCCTTATACATCATCCAACACACGTAGTGCCTCCAGTTCACCGAAGTACCATGTCGAATAGCCCACATGATGGGAATGTCATGCTCCAACACCCTAGAATGATTGAACGCTCGCGAAAACAAAATGTGGGTGATGACATAGTGTAGTATGCGGGACTCCACAGTAAGCAACCCCACCGTATAGGCAATGTGTTGCCCACGGACTCTCCTCTGCTCCTGCACGACATCACCGCGTGTATATCCTGGAAGTATGGTCCCGCTGTCTGCGTCATATTCCACAGTCTGTGCAGAATCAAAGTCATACCCCAGTAACTCCAACCATACCGGAGCCGTCATGATGATGTCCACCTCGCAGACCCTAGACCTCAGCTCACCGTGATGGTAGCTGAGATTATGGTAGAAGACCCGTACATGCAGCTCAGAATATGAACACGACAGTTCAGCCAAGGTCCTAAGATGTGATTCCTCCAACCACCTCACAATGTTAAAACCTTCTTGTTCAAAAAAGGTTGTATGAAGTGATTTGGCCCCACAAATCCGTCGGTTAACAAAGTCACGGACAAAAGATTCATGAACCACCGAGTCATTCTCGAACAAGTATCCGAATGGGAGGTCCACAGCAGCGGGGTCTTCCTCTTGTGGCCTTGACGAAGACGGACGGTCTTGTCGTAGCTTTTGTCGTCT